TTGAGGCCATCCCACCTGTCTGAATGACCTTTTCTTCAACTTCCTTTCTGATCTCACTATCTACTGCTGCTTCTCCCTTGCTCTCTCTTTTTTTTTTTAGGTTATTTTTTGAGACCAAGGTCTTGCTCTGTGACACAAGTTGGAATGCAGTAGCATGATAACAGCTCACTGCAACCTCAAACTCTGGCCTCAAGCAATCTTCCTGCCTTAGCCTCCTGAGTAGCTACAGGTGCATACCACCACATCTGGGTAAGTTTTTCATTTCTCTTTTTAAAAGATAGAGTTTTGCTGTACCACCCAGGTTGGTTTCTAGTGCTTGGGTTCAAGTGATCCTCCCATGTCAGCCTCCCAAATTGCTTGGATTCAAGTGATCCTCCCAAATTGCTGGGATTATAGGAATGTGCCACTTAACTCTGGCCTTTTTTGAACCTTTGAAATGTATTCTGTTCCTTCTCACTTTGCATATGCTGCTCCCTCTGCCTGTGAAGCTCTCCTCCCCACTTTTGCACCCTTGTGTGTTTAAGAGTTACTCATATTTCCATTTCAATATTTCTCTTCCAGAGAAAATGACTTTTCTCCCCTCCTCCACATAGAGCCAGTCTTTCTTTCTCACTTACCTTCCTGTCTTACTACCCCTCATCATGCTCCATATCAGTCAGCCATTGCTGTGTAACAACAGCAACAAAAAGCACAGAACCCCAACAACACTCAATAGTAAGTATTTATTTCATTCATGAGTGGGTGGCTCAGTTCTCATCTACTTTTCATCCATCTCCTGGAATCAGTAGCCACACCAGGGTGTGTGGCTGTGGCTAAAGTGTAAGAGGACAAGTCTTCCAGTTCAGGTATGTTTCTAGTTCTCGCTTGCGTCATGACTACCCCCATCCCATTGGCCAAAGTCCAGGGGTGGGAGGAGTTACAGTGTTCTATGGCAGAGCCTTGGTGCAGAACTGGAGCCAGCCATTTAATCTACCCAGTATCCTTTGCTGGGCTGCAATGAGTAATTAATAACAATGTATTTCTTATTTGATTTTTTTGTTGGTTGCTTCTCCTAGATTGTATGCTCCTTTTGGGCAGGGCACTGCCTACCCTGCTTACTCCTTCCTCCGTGCCTAGCACTGTGCCTGGCATATATTAGGTGACCCAACATTGAAGAAATTGGTTAAGTGAATAAATGAATGAATGAGGTAATTTTCTTTCTCTCAGACTCTTTTGCATCTCTGTAAAATGGGAATCATAATCTTTAGAACTCTGGAATGTTGGACGGATTCTATTTAAGTCAGGTTCTGTCATCTGGAAGGCCCATAGGATTAGGGAGTTCAAGGTCCAATTCAAGATGAGGGTCCCATTCTGACCCAGGAACCTCTAAGGGGCTGGCACATCACCATCTCCACCACGGGGGAAGCACAGCCTGTGGCTCTTCTGAAGGTCTGTGCCCCTCTGGATGTCAGTGTCCCCAGCCTGAGGGCCCCCATGTCCTCCTGCAAAACTGACAGGTGGACTCCCATGTGGAGCAGCTGCTGTGAGGCCAACACCACATCTCAGTGTGTCCTATCCTGCTCCTCCCTCTGAACAGGGTGCAGACATGCTGTGAGGGGGAGCACGGAGGGCATCCTTCCCTTGTCATCTGGATCTGAGTAGAGGGCATGTTTATACATGTAGGACAGGAAATGTCACACCTCCATAGATGTCTTCCAGTATTTCACCTATTGAAAGATACAACCTGCCAGGTTGCACAAGGAGACTTCTCTGCAGTGAGAGCAAGAGATGAGGTAGGAGCCAAACTGAGGTTGGCGGCTCAGTTTCCCTCCCAGCCCCAGCTCTCCTGGGATCAGCCCCTTTTTCTTCTGGGTAAGGTCAAGGGCCTCTCTGACCCCACCAGTCCATCCATGGGTGCCCCAGCTGGGCTTGAGAGTCTCATCTTCTCAGTCTTTGTGTCATTGATTTTTTTTCTCTTTCCTGTCACTTAAAAATAATAATCAAAGCTCATATTTATTGGGAAAGTAGTAAAAACCAGGCCTGCATCAGGCCCTTTTATAAGCCTAATTCCCAGTCTTCTCAACAACTTCAGGATATAGATGACATCATTGTCCCATTTTACAGATGAGGAAACTGAGGCTGAGAGAGCTTAAGTCACATGTTTGAGGTTGTGCTGCTTTTGGTTTCCTTCCTATGAAGACTCTCACATGTTTGGAGGCCAGAACTCTCACCTACACTAGGAATCTCATCCCCCTGAGTCCTTTCTTCCCTAGGCTTGCTGCCTACTATCTTTAGGGCTTGGGACAAGATGGTCCTGGGACACAGCTCTCCAGAATCCTAAGGTTCCTCCTGCTGCTGAGAAGAGGAGGCAGCTTACCTCCAGGGACTGTTTCTGGCAGTGAACTTGAACTTATTTTATTCCTATGTCACAGAGGCAAGGATCCCAGCAGGCTGACAGACTGAGTGTGGGCTCTGGATCTCTCAGAAACACACAGCCACCTATGTTGCTATAAAACCCATGTTTTTAGGGAATTTCAGGAACAAATCATAATGTGAAAGAAAAAAAGCTACGTGATAAAAAAAAAACAAAACACACCATCTGAGAGGCAGCCGTTACCATCTGCTGCCTGTGCAGCTGCTTCTAGGTTGTAGACCACTCCCCCACTTCCTCAGATGAGCCTGGAGAGGGCTTCAGGCCCAGACTGGAGTGCTGGTGTGGACTCCACACTTCTGACAGGAGGTCTGAGGCACCCAAGGGGCTTTGAGAGCTGCCATCCTGAGCCAAGCTCACCTCTCAGCTGTTTTTCACAGCCCCACTACTGCATACACTTGATTCAATCTAGTCAGGCCTTAGTTCCTCCATCGGTAAAGTGGGCTAATATTTGTATGTATCATTGGTCCAGTGAGCTTTTTTTTTTTTTTTTTTTTTTGAGACAGAGTCTTATGTTGCCCTCAGTAGAGTACTGTGGTATCACAGCTCACAGCAACCTCAAACTCTTGGGCTTAAGTCATCCTCTTGCTTCAGCCTCCCAAGTAGCTGGGACGATAGATACCTGCCACATGTCCAGTTATTTTTTGGCTATAGTTGTCATTGTTGTTTGGAAAGCCCAGGCTGGGTTTGAACCCGCCAGCGCCAGTGTATGTGGCTGGTGCCCTAGCCACTGAGCTATAGGCGCTGAGCCTGGTCCAGTGAGCTTTGAGTATAAAGGCAAACCTTCACATGCCTTCAGGCCTCTGGACCACACAGGTCCATTGTTCATTCCGCTAAAGATAAGTCATAGAAGAAGGAGAGATGTATTTGTATAGTCATCTTTTAAGTGCCTCCTGATGTAGGAAGAGGAGGCCATCGAGAGTGAAGATGTGACAACTTTTCCAGCTGGACCTCAGCTATCTGGAGGGGACTCCTGAGGAAGACAGGGTGCACATGGCGGGCAGACTGAGGAGCACTCCTCCCACCCTGGGAACCGTCCAGAGACCCAGAGCTCAGGCCCAGCCTGTCAGCCTGCTGGGCTCTTAGCCTCTGTGACTTGTGATTTCCACAAGGTCAAGCCCTTTTCCTCAGCTTCTTGGGGACAGGAAACACAATTGCGTGCCTAGCACAGGTATGAGAGGGGACCATGGCAGTGTGTATGTCTATAGAGGCTAGGAGGTCAGATTAGAAGCAGAAGTCTTCTAACCTCATAAGGAGGAAAGAGGAGTGACTGCCACAGTGACGGGGTCAGAGTATGTGTTTAAGGAATGCTAGTTATTTGTTATTTCTATCACCATCATCACTGGGGGCAGCACAGTGAGGCAGACATGGTTACCTGACCTCCAGATGTTCATGCTTCCCCTTTCACAGAATAGAGCTGGTGCTTTGGGGCAGCTGCCTGACAGGAACTGTGCTTTCCAGACTCCCTTGCAGCTAGGTGAGAGCATATGACTGGCTTTCATCAGTGTCATGAGCAGGAACATCTTGCATCAATTTTAGGCCAAGAAAATTCAGAATTGAGACTACCTTCTCCACTCTGTCTTTGTCAATTCCTGTCTAGAAGCAGAGTATTGGGTGTGTGTATGTGGGGTGCCTAATGCAGCCCTACACAAACCCCTTTCCCTCCTCCTCCCCTCCTCTTAAGACAAAGACACATAAGATCTAGCTAGCCCCCCCCCCCAGAAGTTTTCTCCAAAAGGCTCTAACCTGATAGGCAACCTGTGGAATGTGCCCACCCCCCAGAGCCCCCATATAAAAGGGATCTCTAACTGGCCATCCTCACAACCCCTGCACAGATGCCATCTTTGCAAGGCCCAGGCAGGTCACCTAGAGTTTCATTTTGTCTCCCTTGGTAGAGTGCTCTTGGCATCATAGCTTACAGCAACCTCAAACTCTTAGGCTTAGGAGATTCTCTTGCCTTAGCTTCCTGAGTAGCTGGGACTACAGGTGCCTGCCACAATGCCTGGCTAGTTTTAGAGGTGGGAGGGTCTTGCTCTGGCTCAGGCTGGTCTTGAACTTGTGAGTCCACCCTCCTCTGCTTCCCAGAGTGCTAAGATTACAGGCATGAGCCACCATACCTGACCACCCTCCCTTTTCAATAAAGCTGGCCCGAACATCTCCTCTGTGGCCTTGTCTCTGGGCCCCACTGTTGACACCTTTCACAGAGGGCTCTGAGGCTGTGAGAGTCTACAGTGAGGTGCAGCACAACTGGGCGGCTGGGCTGGGTGGTGTATTTCCCCAGAGTTACCAGAAAGGTGACTCAGGGAGGGAGCTGGAGAGAAAGGCCAAATGTTGATTCTACAGAGCTTGGCAAGACCATGACTAGGACGGTGAGTCCAGAAGAGACCTGGGTGCAGTGAGAAGTGGAGTGTGTGTGGTTCAGTGAAGGGTTCAGAATGGAGGCTGAGGTTGAAGACTCAGTGAGTGAGAGATACTCTCAGAGCACCAAACGTTCATGCCCTCTGCCCAGCAGGTAAGGCTTTTCAAGTTGAATTCAGTTTGCAGCTTAATATTCTCATCAAAACATTGAGGTGCCAAGCCCCTTCCCATAATGGCTCAGCAGGAGGAACAGACAGGTCAGGAAAGGCAACTCTTTGGGAGTCATGTGTGTTCTTGGTCTTTAAGAATGAGTAAGATTATATAAAGCAAGTGAAAGCATGAAGGGGCATTCCACACACAGAAAGCAGCTGGTGCAAAGTCCTGAGGTATGAAAAAGCACAGTGCATTGGAGAGAAGTGAGAAATTCAGTGTGCCTGGAGAGGAGTGTGCTGGGAGGCAGGGCATGTCAGGAAACTGAGGGGAATAGATTCAAATCAAACTGTGAAGGGCTTTGGGTGTCAGGCCAAGATTTGATTTCTGGGAAAAAGGAACTAAAACAGCTTTCTTTCTTTCTATCTTTTTTTTTTTTTTAAAGATTACTAATTAAGGGGGCTGTGCGGTGGCTCACACCTGTTATCCTAGAACTCTGGGAGGCTGAGGCAGGTGGATTGCCTGAGCTCACAGGTTTGAGACCAGCCTGAGCAAGAGTCAGACCCCCATCTCTAAGAATAGCTGGCTATTGTGGCGGGTACCTATAGTCCCAGCTACTTGGGAGGCTGAGGCATGAGGATCACTTGAGCCTAAGAGTTTGAGGTTGCTGTGAGCTACGATGCTCCAGCACTCTACTAAGGGTGGCAAAGTGAGACTCTTGTCTCAAAAAAATTATTAATTAATTAGAAATGGTGTTATATGCACATGCACCCTCGACCAACTGATAGGCAGAGTAAGCAATGAACATTCTCAGTCCCTAGAAACATTTTCCCTGTACAGAACCAACTATTGCACAAGCGTTGTCATCCTTCCAGAGGGATCCTCTGTGTATAGAAGCATAGACATCTATGTGTATACTTCCTTAAAAATCTCCCCCAAATAGCAGCATTCTAATCACATTGTTCTGCACTTTGCTTTTTTCACTTAACAATATATCTTGGAGATTGTTTCATATCCGTACATAAAGAGCTGCCTCATTCTTTTTTAACAGCCATAAAGATTTCCATTGTATGAGTGTATTGCAATTTGTTTAAGCAGTCCCCTCTTGATGGACATTCAGGCTGTCTCCAATCTTCTGTTATTATAAGCCATGCTGCATTGAATAGCCTTGTATATCCAACTTTGCATACATATATGCAAGTCTGTCTGTGGAATACATTTTCAGAGCAGTAGAATTTATGGGTCAACGGGTACGTGCATTCAGAATTGTGATAGAGAGTGCTGAATTGCCATCCGTGGAAACTGTGCCAACGTACACTCCCACCAGCCTTTGAGACTGCAGTTCTTTCTGCACTCTGGTCAGCACAGTGTGTGGCAAACATTTTGATCTTTGTCGATCCGATATGTTATAATCATGGTATTTCATGGTGGTTTTAATTGGCATTTCCTTTTTATGAAGAGGAAGCCTGGTTTTCTATGTTTAGAGGTTAAGTTTGAGACTCTGTGATCTACCTGTTCACATCCTTTGCCCATTTTTTATTGGATTGTTGGCCTTTTTTCTTACTGAATTGTCAGAATACCGGCATAGTGCCTATAAAACCTGCCTGTTGGTAAATTTCCTCCTGCCTAGGATCCAGTCTGTAGGTGTCCATCCCAGCAGATGCAACGTGGTTTACAGATTTCCTTCCTCTGGGGCCCGGCAGCTGTGGTAGGGGCTGGGAATTGGCAGAGGGTAGGAGAATGGTAGTTCTGGTTAGCTCTTCCATGGAGACGTGACTAATGGGACAGAGCACTTCTATTCCTCGGCAGAGAAGCAGACCATCCCGGAGGCATCTGAATTGGGCAGGGCCTCCTTCTCGGCTCCCCAGCCGTTCTCTTCTCCCTGGTTCAATACCACCCCCTTCCCGGGCCCCAGGAGTCCTCTCTGCTCAGCTTCCCCTTTCCTAATATTAGCACAGGCGCAGCCCTACCCACCGTCACAGGCAGTGATTATATAGCAAATTAACCACAAGCTGTTCGGTCCTCATCCGGTGGCAGTTGGGAAGATGCTACTCTGAGTAATGGCTTGTGTAGTCGATGCTCTCATCTGTAATTTGCCTGTGCAATAAATGCAGAAATAAAAACCCGATCCATATGAAAAAGGGACCAAGTAGAAGGAGCTGGGGCGGGGGCTGGGGGGAGAAATCATGAATTTTGTGGACTGCATCTTACAGTCTGTCTTCAATTTCCTCTTGAGTAATGCAGCCATGGCCCGTATTTGATTGATGGCTGTGTTTGGCTAAAGGATGGAGGCAGACAGAGAGTCAGAGCAGGGCTGAATCCTGACTCCTCGAAGGGTATCTTTGAGAATGAGGCGGCTTTTCTCTGAGCCTCAGTTTCTTTACCTATGAAATGGGGAGGTAATACCGATCTCCAACCAGAGCTTGGATTCGGAAACACAGTAAATTCATAGGACAGGTTACTCTCTTGCCTTCCTCCTTCCTTCACTCCCTATCTGGTAGGAGTTTTTAAAATTAAACTTCATTTTGAGATAATTGTTGAATCATATGCAGTTGTATGAAATTGTAGAGATGCCGTGTATTCTTTACCCATATTCCCCCAGTGTTAGCATCTGACAAAACTATAATACAATATTACAACCAAGATATTGACATTGATACAATCCATAGATTTTTATTCGTATTTCCCTGGTTTTACTTATGTGCGTTTTTGGTTATATACAATTTTATTACCTGTGTGGATTCGTGTATCTGCTATCACCGTCAAGATACATAAAAGTTCTATTACTACAAGGATACCTCCTGTTGTTTTTATTTTATTTTTTATTATTCTTTTTGACATAGAGTCTCAAGCTGTCACCCTGGGTAGAGTGCCATGGCATCATAGCTCATAGCAACCTCATACTCTTGGGCTCAAGCGATCCTCTTGCCTCAGTTTTTCTAATTTTTAATAGAGATGAGGTCTTGCTTTGGCTGGTCTCGAACCCGTGAGCTCAGGCAATCCACTGGCCTCTGTCTCCAGAGTGCTAGGATTACAGGCATTAGCCATGGTGCCCAGCACCTCCTGTTGTTTTAAATATCTACTCCCACCTACCTCCTGCTCCCCCGCCTCCATTGATGGAGAGATGTTCTCCATTTCTAAACTTTCGTCCTTTCAAAAATCCCACGTAAATGGAATCATACCGTTGTAGTCTGTCGGGTTTGGCTTTGTTCACTCATCTTAATTCCTCGAAGATTCATCAAGGTTGAGTATCTCAGTAATTCATTCCTCTTCATTGTCAAGTACTATTCTATGGCGTGAACACACCGGAGTTTGTTTAACCCCGTACCTATTGAAGGACATCTGGGTTGTTTCCAGTTTTAGGCTATTACTAATAAAGCTGCTGTAAATATTCATGCACAGGTTTTCATATAGTTTCACTTATGAGTGAACATAAATTTTCATTTTTCTGGGATAAATATTTGAGCCCGATTTCTGGGTCTTAGGGTTACCAGATGTTTAGGTTTTATAACATAACACCAGACCTTTTGCCAGAATGGGTGTGCCTAACGCTGCTGCTGCCTGTGAAGGGAGATTCCAAGTCCAGCTTGGAGGTGGCAGGCGTGACAGCTCTAGCCTGTGGAATGATAGCAGTGGGATCCTGCCACAGAAATGTCACTTCTACTATCCTTCAGACCATCGTGGAAAAGTCAGAGACTGAGCTCAAGGACACTTATGCTCGTTGGCTTCCTCTTGCACTGGGACTCAACCACCTGGAGAAGGGTGAGGCCATTGAGGCAATCCTGGCTGCACTGGAGGTTGTGTCAGAACCATTCCACAGTTTTGCCAACGTGCTGGTGGATGTGTGTGCCTCTGCAGGCTCCGGGGAGGTACTGAAAGTGCAGCAGTTACTCACATTTGTAGTGATCATTTTGACTCCAAGGAAAAAGAAGAAGACAAAGATAAGGAAAAGAAGGACAAGGACAAAAAGGAAGCCCCTGCTGACAAGGGAGCACATCAGGGAGTGGCTGTTCTGGGGACTGCCCTTATCGCTCTGGGAGAGGAGATTGGTGCAGAGATGGCACTAGGAACCTTTGGCCATTTGCTGAGATATGGGGAGCCTACATTCCAGAGGGCTGGACCTTCAGCCCTGGCACTAATCTCTGTTTCAAATCCATGACTTAACATCCTGGATACCCTAAGTAAGTTCTCTCATGATGCTGATCCAGAAGTTTCCTATAATTCCATCTTTGCTATGGGCATGGTGGGCAGTGGTACCAATAATGCCCATCTGGCTGCAATGCTGCACCAGTTAGCTCAATATCATGCTCAGGACCCCAACAATCTGTTCGTGGTGTGCTTGGCACAGGGTCTGACACATTTAGGGAAGGGCACACTTACCCTCTGTCCCTACCACAGTGACTGGCAGCTTATGAGTTAGGTGGCGGTGGCTGGGCTGCTAACTGTGCTTGTCTCCTTCTTGGATGTTTGAAATATCATTCTAGGCAAATCACGCTATGTATTGTAGGGGCTGGTTGCTGCCATCAACCCCGAATGTTGGTCACATTTGATGAAGAGCTGCGGCCACTGCTGGTGTCTATCTGTGTGGGCCAGGCGGTGGATCTGGTGGGCCAGGCAGGCAAGCGGAAGACTAACACAGGATTCCAGACACGTAAACCCCAGTGTCATTGGCCCATGGGGAACGGGCAGAATTGGCCACTGAGGAGTTTCTTCCTGTTACCCCCATTCTGGAAGGTTTTTGTCATCCTTTGGAAGAACCCCAACTATGATCTCTATGTGGCCCTCCAGGGCCCTGAGCTATAGCTAATGTATCAGCAGGCCATGCTTCCTGCTGCCAGGGCTGGACACAGTCTCAGACCTTTGAGACAATTGTTACCTCCTGATCTTTTGTTACTGAGTGAGAGAACCTTGTTGAATAAAGACCTTTATCCTCCCTAGGATAGGAGGGATATTTCCTAAATGTCAGTAGTAAAGGATTGCATTGTCTTCTTCATACTTTTCTATATAGTCCATATTTCCTGTGAAGAAATATTAATTTTATAATTAAAAAGCATTAAATGTTCTATGAGAAAGAAATTTCCACTGGTGCCATCCTAAGATGGATGCCCAGTTCTCCAGACTCCTCTGTGTATCATGTATTTTCAAGATAGCTCACAATTAAATATTACAGTAAAAAAGGATAAAAAACAGAAGAAAAACTATTAGTTATTTATAAATAAAAAAGGCACTGGTCAAAAAACATTTTCACCATTAAAACTCTTAGAAAAATATGGCTTGAAGAAGAAGCACCTTGCAGTGTTATCACATTTGACCAATTCTTGGGGGATTTTGTTCCCAGCACAGAATGTTGCTCATCAGGGGGGTTACAAAGTGCATCACAGGACGGTCAGTTATGTCTGAGATTCAGAGAGAAAAGAATATAATTTTAGTATAAGTATGTCCCAAACATTGCATAGGAATACTTACATTAAAATATTATTTGTTTTTTAAATCTAAAATTCAAATATAACTGGGCACCCTAAATTTTGATTTGTTAACAATACTACCTCAGGGGACATTTGGCATTGTCTGGAGACATCTTTGGTTGTTACAACTTGAGGAGGGTTTTTTTTAAAACTTTTTTTTTTATTATTAAATCATAGCTGTGTACATTAATACAATCATGGGGTACAAGGTGCTGGTTTTATATACTTCCATTGAACTGGTTAACATAGCCTTCACTGCATTTTCTTAGTTATTGTGTTAAGACATTTATATTCTACACTTAGGAGATTTAACCTGTACCCTTGTAAAATGCACTGTAGGTGTGGTCCCACCAATCACCCCCCTCCACCCATCTGAGGAGGGTTTGTTGCTGCCATTTAGTAGGTAGAAACCAGGGGTGTTGTAGGATCTTGTAGTAAAGATCCTACAATTTACAGGGCAGCCTCCAAGCAAGGAATTATCTAGCCTAGAATGTTAATGGTGTTGAGGTTGAGAAACCCTGGTTGAGCACATTTCCCATAGTTCCCCAGGAAGAACTCTCTAGCACAAAATTTCCTTTAGAATAAACTTGGAAGAAGTCATCAGTTTCCCCTAAGAAACTGGCTTTTGTCAAAACTTCTTTAATTAATAACAGTAAGAAAAGTAACTAAGTAACTGATTCTATTTCCCTTTCTCTTTGACTACTGAGAAACTCAGACCATATTAAAGGCCCAAGCCTAAAGATAGGGATCTTCCGTGCAGCATATATATTTAGCTTTTCCTTTTGGTTTTGACATTCTGGCCTGATTTGCATATCCCTGGTCTAATTCTTGTTCTTCATGTATTTTTCACTATTTCTTGTTCATCACTCAAATCCCTTGTGGGATAAGGTGGGGACACACACAAATATATGCACTCATAAAAATACTTGAATATGTATTTTACCATATACGTGACACGGCCTTACTGTGTTTAGTGGGCAGAAAAATGGAGACTGGGTAGTCCCTTCCCCAACATCCTAATACATCTCAGGAAATGCCTTTGGTTTCTGACTTTCTCTTTTACCCCCAGGGCCAGGCCTTAGAACACCTGAGATGGATGGTTAGCCCTTGAAAACCAGAGCTGCTGTGAGGCTGGACTTTGGACAGCGGAAGAACGGATGCTAGCTTCTTCTAACTTGATCTTCGGAGACAACGAAAGTCCTTCTTGCTGCCCAGAAAGTGAGGGTCATTCTGCAGAGGCCAAGCAGGCTGGGCCGTGCGAGGTGCTGTGGCGGCCCACGCAGACACACACTGGGAACGAATGAGATTGCATCTTCCCCCGGACCAGCGAGATTCTATAAACATAATCAAAATGTAATAGAAACTTTTTGGAAATGCTGTTATGAGGAGAAAGCATCAATCTTGATGGAACTCCGCTCAACAGGCTTTGCAGAGCTAATCAATCATGGTCAGGACTCGGCCTCCCCATCTGTCTGCGCCGGGGACCGAGCGGAGCTTGCTCACTCCCGGGCTGGGGCTGCGTCCCCTCACCAGGCAATCCATCATGCTGCAGGGGGATGGCGGGAGGGGAATAATAGCACGCTAATAAACTAGGGGCTTTTTTCATTCCCAACTAATTTTTAGTAAATGAGCCCAATCCAGACAGAGCAGGAAAAGAGCCTGAGGAGATGGTGCTTCCCAGATGCGCCTGGCTGGCTGGGGACAATGGCTCATGCCCGAGGGAAAGCGTTGAAGCTACCCGGCCAGGGATTGGAGGACTCCCCGTGCTCAGCGGAGGGCGGAACTGGACAGGGGAGGCCCGGGGAGGCCAGGGGAAGGTGAGTCCGGAACAACTTCCGGGCCAGCGGCATGGACATCCGGGTCTGGCTCCTACAGCGGATGCCCGGGACACAGGGACAGCCGTAATAGCTGGATACTGTTTGGAAGTCGGGAGTGAACAGGAATGTCAGTGTTAGGTCCATGCAGTGAGCTGTAACAAAAAAATGAGTCCAGAGGTCAGAAGCCAAGGAGGAGAAAGAAGAGCAGAGAGCAGGAGGGTTCAGGTCAGAGACAGTGAATAATAAAAGGTGCAGGGTCCATACAAGGGCCATGAACCTTCTAGGTTACAGAGCAGGACAGGGCTCAGACTGGGATATTCTTAGAGAGGCCTGTGATTTGAGGGACATGGCTGTTTTGACTCACCCTTGTATCTCCAGTACTTTGCTGAATGCATAAGTACAGGCTGGGCACTCATAAATATTAATGTTTATTAAATGAATACATGAATGGGAATTGTTCCTGAGTTAGATTTTGAAGCTCTGGTCTCATAACATTCTTAAGTTCCTCAACTTCAGATTCCTATCCTGAACTCCATCAGATTCAGGCTATGGTTTTCTCCTACCCAGGACTCTTGGACAGGGACATAGGGACAGCTTTGGAGGGGAAGAATGTATTTAGTATTTGTTATCTTTTCCTGTGTAATAAATTACTCTATAACCAAGTGGCTTTAAACAACAATAAATATATATTACCTCTCACAGTGGCTGTGGTCAGGGGTTCAGGAGCTGTTTTCTTTGGACTTTACCCAGGCCTAGTGAGTCTTTCTGGATGGGTGCTCATCAGCTCTGCACCAGGAATTTGTAGATGTCTGCAGATATTTTGATAGTATCCTCATCAATAAGTGGTTTGTTTCCTTTCCCCTTGACTATGGGCTGTCCTACAACAGTATGGAAGAAATGATACCATGTCAGTTCTGGGCCTCATTTTTAAAAGGATCAGCAGCTTTTCACTTTGGTCTCCTGGAGGTTGAGCTGCTGTGTTGGAAGTCTGACTATGCTGCTGGACACAAAGGCTCAGAGTCTATTTTGGGGGGCATCCAGCTGAGCCTAGACTTCTGCCAAGATCCAGACATGTGAATGATGCTATGTTGGACACTTCAGACCAGCCCTGGCTAAAATGCCACCAAGTGAGCATAGCTAGTGCTCCGTAGAGAAGAAAAATGGCCTAGGTGAATCCTGCCAGAAAATCATGAGACATAATAAAACGGTTGTTCTTAAAACCATTACATGTTGGGGTAGTTAGTTTTGTATCAAAAGATAACCAGAACACCTAGAATCCAAGGAAAGATTGAGGATTGTATCTGGCCCCAGTCTAGATGTTTGAATCATTTTTGTGATTATTTTTCCTATGTGCCATTCAGTCTTGCTTAAATGCCCTAAAAGGTAGGTTCATTATTATCTCTGGGTTATTACCTGCTTTGATAGTGGGGTAACAGGGATCTCTTCCCTTCTTCCTTCTGTTCCTCTGTCCTTGTTTCTCCTTGCCTCTCTTCTTTACTTTCTTTTCTTCCTAAGTATTTATTGGACAGGGAATTAGAGAATGGGTCCCAGAGGAGGTAATGTCTGGATCTTGGTTGGAGTGTAGGAGTTGAGTAGTACATTGAACTCATTCTAGGCAGGGCACATGTAAAGGCAGGGCTGCTGTTGAGAGTATATTGTGTTGGCGGGGTGATAATGGTGGCATTTGAGAGGAGAAGGACTTGTGACCATATCATGATAGTCCTTAATGTCTCTTAGGAGTTTAGGCTTTACGACCAGGCTGGGCAGCCCACAATTCCCCTTTCAGAAGCCATAGGAGAATGCTGGTTGCTGCAGGGCTGTTATTGTGGCAGCAGGAGACCAGTTCTGAAGTGGGTCAGATGAAGACTGCTGGCAGTTTGGACCAGGGTTGAGGTGGAGGGGTTGCAGGAAAGTGGGTGGTTTAGGAAGTGTAATGTGTTTATTGTATTACTCGAGAATATGTAATTCTATTATAAAGGACAAGAAAAACAAATAGGATGGATAAACCTCCTAAGAAGTGTTCAGTATAGATGGTACATAAGCTAGGAGCTTATGAGATAAAGGCAAAACTTAGAGGATGGTTTATACATAATGAGTAAGCTTGTGCGACTCGGGCAGAATTCATAAGGTGTGTTAAATATAGGTAGTAAGAATGTTAGAAACTTGCTAATCAATGATAAATTAAATGGTTTATATGGTAGAACAATGAATAGAAATGCTTTAAATATAAATGAGTGGAAAGACTAAGCCATGAGAGCACCACTCTGTTTATTATTATTATTATTATTATTTGAGACAGAATCTTACTTTGTCACCCTCAGAAGAGTGCTGTGGCATCATAGCTCACAGCAACCTCAAACTCTTGAGAACAAGTGATTCTCTTGCCTTAGCCTCCCAAGTAGCTGGGACTACAGGTGCCCACCACAATGCCTGGCTATTTTTTTGTTGCAGTTTAGCTGGGGCCGGGTTCAAACCTGCCACCCTCGGTATATGGGGCTGGTACCCTACCCACTGAGCCATA